ATATATTTATACATATCTATGGTCTACACTGGATGCGGCGTGGCACGACACGACAAATCCCCGACAGAAAACCGCTGCAGCTTTCTATTTATGACGTATTGACACAAATTTCTAATGATTTTCAACTGTCGCTGTGACGCGTCCAGTGTACTAGACAGACTTTAGCTGTTGCAGCGCAGACACGGTGCCTTCTTTTGTTCCGCAGACGTTTTCCTCTTTTGTTTTTTATTCGCCATCTCTATCTTTCTGTCATCGCTTGGCTCGGCTAATGTCCGTCCCGTGCACTGAACGCTCTCCACATCATGAGTAGACACGCCCCTTACTGCTGATTGGCTACAAGTTTGTTTTGCTATTCGGCCAAATCAGTTTTCTAAAGCGTTTTTGAAAAATCGCTTACCCCACCTTTAAATTACTCTGTATTGTTATGTATTGTTCATATTATTATTATTATTATTTCTATAATTTGCATTGCGTCAGTAGTGGAGTCGGTGTTGATTATCACGTTACTATGTACAGTAAAGCATATTTTATGTAGGTTTACATGCTATACAAGTTGTTGTTTTTTTGGAATAAATAATCAAAGACAGGTAGTTTATTATGTCATTAACTTTATGCTTAAGAGATCTGTATACCATTTAGGCTAGATTCAAATATGCATATGATAAAAACCTTAGTATTTCTGTGTCTGAATATAAAATGATCTGTTAGATATTATATAACTTGATGTTTTACCTGCAGGATCTTAATTTCTCTTGCTCTAATGGCAGATCATCACATGGCTTCCCACTCACTTTAGGTTTGACTTTAGCAGATGTCATATCTCTATTGAAGTCATTAGTGTCAGTTTGCTGCGTCTCTATAATGGATGAATGTTTGGGTCTAGATTTCTAATTCTTGTTCATATGGTCGTACTTTATTTCCTTCTGTGTTTGCGTGTTAAACCTTCTCTCATTTCTCTTTCACACTTTCACTTCCTTCCTGTTGTTCTTTTCATTCCTTCATGTCTTTCTCTTACGTTTTCTTTCTCTGTTCTTGTTGTGTTCAGCCAGCAATACATTGAAATGTTCTGGCCCAGTTTTGAGTTATTTAAGTACAGTATGTAGCCTTTGTTTTTATTTTCACACTTGTATCACAGTAAAACCACAGTTAGGTCTGATCTGAGCGGGTGTGAAAACGTCACTGATCACACGTGGTTACAGCTGCAAATCAGTGTGGCCTTAAACCTTGTTTTACAGTGTACATGGAGGTGTTACTCTGTCACTCTCGGGTTGAAATCTTAATGGTGATCGAGCAAAACAAACATTAAACAAAGCAACCGCCTCCAGTGGATTATTGCTATTATACAACCTCTGCACCCCTGACAGGCATGACAGAGCCCTGATCAGAAGAAATCAATGTAGAGTAACAAAATAAGATGGAGCAAATGAGCAAAATTTGGCATGTGATAGGGCTCGGCGATATGGCCTAAAATCAAAACCTCGATTAATTTAACACTTTACCTCGATTATGATTATTGAATGATTATTTCATTTATTTATTTATTTTGTCTTGCCCTCATAGTTCATTAAAGGTTTGTACTGTAAATATACTCAACTATTAAAAGGTGGGATTTTTTTTCTAATGAAAGTGCATTTCTTATATTTGTGATTTTAAAATAATTGAAGGAAACAAACTATTTGTGGTTATTTGTTGAATATTTTGAACAAATAAAATCAGAGCTTGCTTGAAATGAAGATGGCTTGTGAAAAAAGTCACATTTCAGTTTTATTGTAAAAAGCAAGTTTCCTAAAAAATATATTTTCATTTTTTGCAAACAAAATAAATGAATATTGCCTTGTTAAAATTAGAAAATAACCAGCAAACAAAATAGCCTGCACCAAAAAAAAAAAAGT